CCCCCGGGGGCCACGGGGCCCCCGCTGAAACCCAGCCCGCGGGGACACGGTGCCACCACTGAAACACAGCCCGCGGGGACACGGTGCCACCGCTGAAACACAGCCCGGCACCGCTGAGCTGCCAGCAAAGCAAAGCTGGGGTGCAGAGACAGCCCGCCCTGCCTCCCCTGCCCCACAGGGTGGCCAGAAAGAGCCGAAGCCAACGCGACTGCGCTAAGAAGAGGTGCCCCAGGGAAGGAATAACAGGAGCTCGGCCAAAGCAGCCGCTCGGTCCTCAGTTAGCGGAGGCCTCGCTGGCTGCGCAGGCCCGAGGCCTTTGTGATCCTCCTGAACGGCGGACGGGCAGGCCCTGTCTCCTCCTCACAGCTCTGGCTTCCACAGCCCTGCACAGGGTGGTCACGCAGCCCGGAGCTGCCGTGCCTGCCCCGAGCCCCCTTCGGCAGGGTGGGAGGCCCCGGGCGCCGCTCACGGTATCGGAGCGCGCGGCGTTCGCCCCGAGGGCTGCCCTTGGCAGCCCCGGCTGCTCTTTGCTCCTCTGCTGTCACATGCCTTCTGATGTTGAGGAAAACAAAACAACACCCCAAAAATGTGACTGATCTTTACTCAGCATTCCCCCTTCCTCCCACCACATGTGTAGGCTGTGATGATAGTCTCTTTCTGCCTTTTTTATACCAGGTTTAACAAAACCAGCCTTTCCAGACACTTTGTGAGACAAGATCTCCCTTCTCCCAACCCCTCTAACTGCCTTTTGCATCTCATCATTTCTTTTCCTCCCCAAACACAGAAGGCCAGCTTACATCACACATCTTCCAGAGATCTCGCCACAATAATGTCCGGTCTCCCTGCCATTCCCCTGGAATGGCTTCCTCAACAGTAAGGATTGTGGCTCTCTTTTGCTTCCTTTGCTGCTCCAAGAAAGAGCACAAAGCACTGGGCAAAAGGCTGTCTCCCTCCCTGCTCCTAGGCTGGGATTTGCCATGTTTCCCAGAACAAATTGCTTCTACCTACCCTGTTCCGTAACTAGCAGCTCCCTAAACTGAGCTGTTGGCACTAGCGCCTGCGGGATCCTTGCGGTCAGGAGAGCAGCGAGGAAAGTACCCCCCGGTGCCGCAGGCAGGAGCAGAGCAGCCCGAGCAGCTCCCACTCCTAGTCCCTCCGGGGAGGACAGGATCATCGTTACCTTCTGCAGGGTTCATCGCCGCGTCGTGGAGCAACGTTGCTACACACCCGGCTGCACCTGCAAAACAAGAACTGCCACACGTGAGGGCAGGAGGAGGCGAGGGACCCCGGGGCTCCACCGCAACCCCGAGGCCCCCGCCAAAGCACAGGAGGAGTCCCCTGGAACAGGGTGAGATGCAGAGGCAGCCTCCATCTCCTGTCCAAGCGGAGGGCCAGTCCTCAGCAGCTCCCACCCCGAAAGAGATCAGCAAAGAGAGGGAGGGCAGCAGGCCTACCAGCCCTGGGCTGGCAGGGACTGCATCAGTTGGGAGAATGACATGGACTTGCAGGGATCCCACAGGACAGTAAGCGTCACAACACCCCCTGCACCACAGCAAGGGGCAGGAGGAACCGGCCAGGACTCTACATGTGCCCAGGGCAGGTGGTGCCCCCTGCTTCCCAGGACACACAAGTCACCACGGCAGTGAGGCCTCCGGAACCGCAC